AGCAGACGCTGCCTTCGTAAACATGTCTAAATCTTGGAAGGAATATGTTATGTCGAGGAAATAATGTGCTGCAGCAGAATGGGTTGGGTCAGAGGAAGGAGGGTCCTCGGGAGGCTTTTGCTTGAGAGAGGATGAAGTCAGAGCCTGTATTTTTAGCACATGCCAGCTCAGAAAATAAAAAAAAAATATATTGATGCTGTAGTTAATTAGGTCACATTTATTTCACTCCTGTGCCTTTTAAGCAGGCTCTACAGATCCGAACGATAATCCAAAATACACAATAGGAAGGGGAGAAGGCAGCAACGGAATCAATGTGGTTGGAGGAGCATTCGCATCAATGTAGGCTGCCTAGAGAGATATGTATTTGGCTGCACACACACAAAAGCCAAGTTTCTGGATGCACTGGAGGAGAAATCAAGCCTGTCTTAGCCAATCAGAATCTTATCTTAGCAAATAAGACTCTGTATTGATAATAATACGTATAATATTATAATGTAATGAAATATAATAGTAATAATTATTATATATATTTATATTACATGTAATATTACTAATAATATTACAATATTGGCCACGGTAGTCCACGCTCTGGTTACATCCCGTTTAGACTACTGCAACGCTCTCTACGTGGGGTTGCCTTTGAAGACAGCTCGGAAGCTCCAACTAGTCCAACGCTCGGCAGCCATGATTTTAACAGGAGCGGAGCGCAGGGAGCATACAACCCCCCTGTTGCGCCAACTCCACTGGCTACCGATCTGCTACCGGGCTGAATTCAAAGTGCTGGCGTTGGCCTTTAAAGCCCTAAATGGTTCCGGCCCAAGCTACCTATCTGACCGCATCTCTGCCTATGAACCCACCAGGACTTTGAGATCTTCCGGGGAGACCCTGCTCTCGCTCCCGCCTGCTTCTCAAGCTCGGCTGGCGGGGACGAGAGATAGGGCCTTCTCGGTGGTGGCTCCTCGGCTGTGGAACGCCCTTCCTACGGACATTAGACTAGCACCATCTCTAATGGTATTCCGCAAAAAGGTGAAGACCTGGCTGTTTGTGCAGGCGTTTGAGTAATTTAGTGCAATCTGGTAATGGAACATAGGAATGGAACAATGGACGACGAACCTGGACTACGCTTGGATGATGAGAAGATTGGGTACGGTTGTTTTTCGTAATAATTGTGCATTGTAATTGCTTATTGGTAATTTATGGATAATGTGTTAAGTCAATTGTTATATGTTGCATGGAACCACTGCTGTTTCTACTGTTTTTACTGTTTGTGAACCGCTGTGAGTCGCCTTCGGGCTTGAGATACAGCCGTATAGAAGCAAAGTAAATAAATAAATAATATAATATAATGGTATAGTACAATATAGTAATATATAATACTGATATTGTACTATGCTAATAATATAATATATTGTATGTATATATATCTTGTAATCCGCTCTGAGTCCCCTTCGGGGTGAGAAGGGCGGCATAGAAATGTCGTAAATAAATAAATAAACAACAACAAACAACAACAGAAGACAGTTCCATCTTGTCTCCTGTGCTTTGCTAATAATATAATATAATATATTGTATGTTGTTGTTGTTCATTCGTTCAGTCGTCTCCGACTCTTCGTGACCTCATGGACCAGCCCACGCCAGAGCTCCCTGTCGGCCGTCACCACCCCCAGCTCCTTCAAGGTCAGTCCAGTCACCTCAAGGATGCTATCCATCCATCTTGCCCTTGCCCTTGGTCGGCCCCTCCTCCTTTTGCCTCAGATATTGTATATTCATATAATATATTGTATATGCATATAATATTTTTAATATTATAATGTAATACAATAAAATGTATGTATCTTGTAAGCCAGTCAGAGTCCCCTTTGGGTGGCAAAGAAATGTCGTAAATAAATGAATAAACAACAACAAACAACAACAGAAGACAGTTCCATCTTGTCTCCTGTGCTTTGCTAATGATATAATATAATATAATATATTGTATATGCATATAATATTTTTAATATTATAATGTAATACAATATAATACTAATAATAATAATACATTATAATTATATATTTTATATTACATGTAATAATACTAATAATATTACAATATAATGGTATAGTACAATATAGTAATATTTAATACTGATGTTGTACTATGCTAATAATATAATATATTGTATGTATATATATCTTGTAAGCCGCTCTGAGTCCCCTTCGGGATGAGAAGGACGGCATAGAAATGTCGTAAATAAATAAATAAACAACAACAACAAAGAACAACAGAAGACAGTTCCATCTTGTCTCCTGTGCTTTGCTAATAATATAATATATTGTATAAACATACAATATTTTCAATATTATAATGTAATACAATATAATATTACTAATAATAATACAACATTATAATTATATATTTTATATTACATGTAATATTACTAATATTATTACAGTATAATGGTATAGTACAATATAGATATATATAATACTGATATTGTACTGTGCTAATAATATAATATATTGTATGTGTATGTGTATGTGTGTGTGTGTGTGTGTGTGTGTGTGTGTGTGTGTATATATCTTGTCAGCCACTCTGAGTCCCCTTCGGGGTGAGAAGGGTGGAATATAAATGTTGTAAATAAATAAATAAACAACAACAACAAACAACAACATATAAATGCCATAAATAAATAAATAAATAAACAAGATAATCAACACCTCTTTCCTTTTTTCCCCTCTCCTTCCAATACAGAAAAATAAATCACGGGAATTCCAGACAAAAACAATCAGGGACAGCTAATCACCTCCCAACAAAGGATTCCCCCAGGCGGTAAGAAGCCGGTACTTGAAAATTGCTAGGCCATTAAATGCTAATCAAGGTGGCCAATTGCAACATTCACACCTAGCTCCCTCAGACAAGAGTTCTTTCTCCCACCCTGGACCATTATTCCACAGATTATAATATAAATTATATATATAGCTACCAGTATTAAAAATAATACTAAAATCAGGACAGTAAATCAGGAGCAACAGTAAAAAAAATCAATTCCAGATAAGAAACAATCAGGATCAGCTAACACCTCCCAACAAAGGATTCCCCCCCCAGGCAGGTTACAGCCAGACTTTGAAGCTGCAAGGCCATGGCAATCAAGGTGGCCAATGGCAACATTCACACTTGCTTCAAGCAGACAAGAGTTCTTTCTCCCACCCTGGACATTTCACAGATATATAAACCTCATGTTCCTAGTTTCCAACAGACCTCACAACCTCTGAGGATGCCATAGATGCAGGCGAAACATCAGGAGATAATGATTCTGGGACATGGCCAGACAGCCCAGAAAACACACAACGTTTTCCTAGTTTCCAACAGACCTCACAACCGGGAGCATGCCTGCCATAGATGCGGGCGAAATGTCAGGAGAGAATGCTTCTGGGACATGACCAGACAGCCCAGAAAACACACAACGTTTTCCTAGTTTCCAACAGACCTCACAACCGGGAGCATGCCTGCCATAGATGCGGGCGAAACGTCAGGAGAGAATGCTTCTGGAACATGGCCAAACAGCCCAGAAAACACACAACAACCCAGAAAAAAACCCACATTAATAATGGAATAATAATAATAATAATCACAAGTGTTCGACTTATGGGTTTTTTATACGAAATCCAGCATATAGGTCTCGTTTGCTGTGACATACTGTGGTTTTGTGTCAGTAAAATAATAATAATAATAATAATAATAATAATAATAATTGTATTGTATTGGATCACACACGAAAGCTGACTGGCACGACCTGAGGATCACAACCAGACACAGTGAAGACATCCACCCTCGCGCTGTGCTACTCTGCTGCTGAGTATGCATGCCCAGTGTGGAACACATCTCACCACACTAAAACAGTGATGTGGCTCTTAATGAGACATGCCGCATTATCACGGGGTGTTTGCACCCTACACCACTGGAGAAACTATTGCACCACCTGACATCTGCCGGGAAGTAGCAGCCAATAGTGAAAGGACCAAGGCAGAGACATCTCCAGCTCATCCCCTGTTTGGGTATCAGCCAGCACGTCAACGACTTAAATCAAGAAATAGTTTTCTAAGATCTACAGAGACACTCGCTGGAACACCTCAGCAAGCAAGAGTCCAAAAGTGGCAGGCTCCAACCCAGAACCTCAACCAATGGCTGATACCAAATGAGAGACTCCCCCCTGGGCACACAGAGGACTGAGCGACTTGGAAGGTGCTGAACAGACTGCGCTCTGGCACCACGAGATGCAGAGCCAACCTCAAGAAATGGGGCCACAAAGTGGAATCCACGACATGCGAGTGTGGAGAAGAGCCAACCACTGACCACCTGCTGCAATGCAACCTGAGCCCTGCCACATGATGCACAAGGGAGGACCTCCTTGCGGCAACACCAGAGGCACTCCAAGGGGCCAGAGACTGTCAAAGGACATTTAATCAACTACCAAGCTTGCAAATTCTGTGTTTTTGTCTGTTTGTTTGTTTGTTAAAAATGTAATACAATGTCTGGCCTAAATACTTGGAAAGTGTAAAACTTGTGATTTTGTGTTATACGAAATCCAGCATATAGATCTCATTTGCTGTGACATACTGTTTTGTGTCAATAATAATAATAATAATAATAATAATAATAATAATAATACATCACACAGTCCTAGATGCTTGGGAAGTGTTCGACTTGTGATTTTGTGATACGAAATCCAGCATAGAGATCTCGTTTGCTGTGACATACTGTGCTTTTGTGTCAGTATAATAAATAATAATAATAATAATAATAATAATAATACATCACACAGTCCTAGATGCTTGGGAAGTGTTCGATTTCTGATTTTGTGATATGAAATCCAGCATACAGATCTCGTTTGCTGTGACGTACTCTGCTTTTGTGTCAATAATAATAATAATAATTATACTAATGGATGCATACACACACAAACACACACCCAGAGCACATACGTCCATCCCAGCGCCCTTTTCGGCCGAACAGTACTCACTCTGTTAAAGCGTTTGGCTTGAAACAGATGCCCATTCACTCTGTAAAGCTTCCTCCATCTTCTGGCTCCACGTCGGTAGATGGATTCTGAGAAAGAAATGAGGAAGGTGTAAAGCAGGAGCATAGTAATGCCATGCACACTTCCCTCGGCAGCTCAGCCTCGCTTCCCAGCTTCCCATGCATTGCTGGCGGCACAATCCGCCGCCACCGCCGCTGTCACGAATCCCCCGAATGCCTCTTCCATCCCTCCATCTCCTCCCACCTTTCCCGTTCCTTTTTTCCGCCCCTCCCTCCCTCACATGATGACAGTCGTATCATTTGGGGCGACTGCTCTTGCTTCAAGCTCAGGTGAGGTGGGAAGCAAGCCATGGCGACGTGGTTAAAGAAACAGCCTCCCTCTCTAACAACCCTCATTGTGGTGGCCTTGCTGGGATGAGGGCGAGGCATGCCTCGAGAATGACAAGGTTGAGGCAGGTAACACAGGAAGCAGGACACATCGCGGTACGGCGACCGTTCCCGTCCTCCTCCACCCTGGAAGGTGATGTCACCAGGACACAGAGGAAGCGACTCAAGAGTCATTATTATTATAGCACTTCTTGCTGTATCACGGAAAGCCAGCGGACCTGATGGGATCCCTGCTGAAATCTTTAAAGAGGGAGGAAGCGACTCAAGAGTCATTATTATTATAGCACTTGTTGCTGTATCAAGGAAAGTCAGCGGACCTGATGGGATCCCTGCTGAAATCTTTAAAGAGGGAGGACCTGAGCTGACACACCAACTCCACCAACTCATAGAAAAAGTGTGGGTGACCGAGAAAATCCCAGCAGATTTCAAGGATGCCACCATCATCACCCTCTTCAAAAAACTGCGGAAACTATCGAGGTATCTCCCTTCTAACCTCCGCTGGGAAAATCCTCGCAAGAATCCTTGCAAACCGCCTTCTGTCCCTCTCAGAAGACCCCTCCCAGAATCCCAGAACGGCTTCCGCCCCTCCAGAGGAACCGTGGACATGATCTTCACTGCACAACAGCTCCAAGAAAAATGCAGGGAACAAAACCAACCTCTGTACATGGCATTCATCGACCTTGCCAAGGCATTCGACACAGTGAATCGCAGCGCTCTCTGGACCATCCTCCACAAAATCGGGTGCCCAAACAAATTTGTGAACATCCTGCGGCTCCTCCACGATGACATGATGGCAACAGTCTTGGACAGCAATGGCTCCCAAAGTGACCCATTTAAGATGGAATCAGGTGTCAAACAGGGAAGTGTTATTGCCACAACCTTATTCTCCATCTTCATCGCTATGATACTTCATCCTGTTGATGGGAAGCTTCCCACCGGAGTGGAAATCATGGAAAGCCATGTAACCTCAGCAGACTGAAAGCCAAAACCAAGGTCACAACAACATCTGTTATAGAACTCCAATATGCCGATGATAGCATAGACTGCGCGCATTCAGAAGAAGACCTACAAGCCACTCTAAAAAGGCATGGCCCGACTTACCAGGCCAGAAACGTTACGGTGTGGGGCGTCCTCCGCCGGCATTATGGCCTCAGGGGGACTTCTTCCTCCCAGAAGCCCCCCTGGACGGTGAGAAAGTTTCCCACCGTCCGGCTGGAGGGCCAATGGCCATCTTGCCAAGGCCTGCCGCTGGGGAAGTCAGGGCTGGCCCCTCTCTCCTCTTGGGCAGCCTATTTAAGGCTGCCCCAAGCTTCCCGACAGGCACTGTTACAGCTGATCCATCCCAACCACCCTGCATGCTTATTGTGTATTGATTAGCGTGTTTTGTTAGGTTGTCATGGTTAACTTGTGATTGTTGACTTGTTTGGTGCTTTTTGTCACAGCTCCTTGTGGCGTTGGGCATGGGCCCTGGATCTGGCTTGGTATCTCCCCCTAAGGGAGTGGGGGAATGTCTGGTGGCCCAGGGGTGCCACGTTTACGTGGGCCCGGTATTGTGCCGGCGGCACCCAGGAGGTTAAACGGTATCGGACAGCAGCGGGCTGCCCAATCCTGATCCAGGACCCATGCATGGCTGCCGACCCTTGTTCCTGTTATCAATACATCAAGTTGTGGCCATTGTTTATCCCAAAACCTTCGTGTGAGTGTTTTCTTGGGGTGGCGGGTTAGGTGTATCACCCATGCGCACGCAACACCTTTGCAGAAGCATACGAGAAGCTCGGCCTCTCACTGAATATCGAGAAAACCACCGTGCTCTTCCAGCAGTCACCAGCCAATCCCTCAGCAGACCAAAACCCAAAACCAAGGTCACAACAACATATGTTATAGAACTCCCAATATGCTGATGATAACTTAGTCTGTGCACATTCAGAAGAAGACTTACAAGCCACTCTAAACACCTTCACAGGAGCATACAAGAAGCTCAGCTTCTCATTGAACATCGAGAAAACCACCATGCTCTTCCAGCAGTCAACAGCCAATCCCTCAGCAGACCAAAAGCCAAAACCAAGGTCACAACAACATATGTTATAGAACTCCAATATGCCGATGATAACTTAGTCTGTGCACATTCAGAAGAAGACTTACAAGCCACTCTAAACACCTTCACAGGAGCATACAAGAAGCTCAGCTTCTCATTGAACATCGAGAAAACCACCATGCTTTTCCAGCAGTCACCAGCCAATCCCTCAGCAGACCAAAAGCCAAAACCAAGGTCACAACAACATATGTTATAGAACTCCAATATGCCGATGATAACTTAGTCTGTGCACATTCAGAAGAAGACTTACAAGCCACTCTAAACACCTTCACAGGAGCATACAAGAAGCTCAGCTTCTCATTGAACATCGAGAAAACCACCATGCTTTTCCAGCAATCACCAGCCAATCCCTCAGCAGACCAAAAGCCAAAACCAAGGTCACAACAACATATGTTATAAAACTCCAATATGCTGATGATAACTTAGTCTGTGCACATTCAGAAGAAGACTTACAAGCCACTCTAAACACCTTCACAGGAGCATACGAGAAGCTCAGCTTCTCACTGAACATCGAGAAAACCAAAGTGCTCTTCCAGCAGTCACCAGCCAATCCCTCAGCAGACTGAAAGCCAAAACCAAGGTTACAATAATATCTGTTATAGAACTCCAGTACACTGATGATAATGTCACCTATGCACATTCAGAAGAAGACCTACTAGCCGCTCTAAAAACCTTCACAGAGAAGCTCGGCCTCTCACTGAACATCGAGAAAACCACAGTGCTCTTCCAGCAGTCACCAGCCAATCCCCCTGTCACAACAACATCTGTTATAGAACTCCAATATGCTGATGATAACGTAGTCTGTGCATATAGAAGACCTATAAGCCACTCTAAATGCCTTTGCAGAAGCTTACAAGAAGCTCAGCCCCACATCGAACATTGACAAAATCAAAGGCTTTTCCACAGGCACCAGCCAATCCCTCTGCAATGCCAGAAATACAGTTTAATGGTGTAACTTTTTTTTCTCGTATCAGGAGCGACTTGAGAAACTGCAAGTCGCTTCTGGTGTGAGAGAATTGGCCGTCTGCAAGGACGTTGCCCAGGGGATGCCCGGATGATTTGATGTTTTTATCATCCTTGTGGGAGGCTTCTCTCATGTCCCCCTATGAGGAGCTGGAGCTGATCGAGGGAGCTCATCCGCCTCTCCCCGGTGTAACATTAAAGGCTGAGAAGAGCAGTATACAAATATAGTAAATAAATAAATAACATTAGAAAATGTTGACCATTTCCGCTCCCTTGGCAGCCCCCTCTCCACCAAAGTCAACACTGACACTGAAAGACAACACCACCTGAGCTCTGCAAGTGCAGCATTTTTCCAAATGAAGCCGAGAGTGTTTGAGGACCGGGACATCCGTAGGGAGACCAAGGGGCTTGTTTATAAAGCTATTGTCCTCCCAACCCTGCTATACGCCTGTGAAACGTGGACTGTCTACAGACGTCACATGCAACTCCTGGAACGATTCCATCAGCGTTGCCTCCGGAAAATCCTGCAAATCTCTTGGGAAGACAAGTGGACAAATGTCAGCATGCTGGAAGAAGAATTGAAGTGATGGTCCTCCACCATCACCTAAGCTGGACCGGCCACGTTGTCCGGATGCCCGACCACCGTTTCCCAAAGCAGTTGCTCTACTCCGAACTCAAGAACGGAAAACGAAATGTTGGAGGGCAGGAAAAGAGATTGAAAGATGGGCTCAAAGCCAACCTCAAAAACTCTGGCATAGACACTGAGAACTGGGAAGCCATGGCCCTTGAGCGCTCCAGTTGGAGGTCAGCTGTGACCAGCAGTGATGCAGAATTTGCAGAGGCATGAATGGAGGGCGAAAGGGAGAAACATGCCAAGTGGAAGGCACGTCAAGCCAGCCCCATAGAACCCCCATGATGAAGAGAAAGACTGTGTTTTCTGCTGTGCTGACGGTGGGACCGTAGATATCGGGGGAGCCCTATCCTGACTAGTCAGAAGCTGAAAGCGTCTTGAAAACAAGAAACCTTGGGTTTTGATTCCAGGGCCTATTCTTAGGAGACTCCTACCGAAAATGTAAGTGTTTCTATAGCAACCGGATGCCCTAACACACATCCAAGGTCTGAAAGAATAGGACTGAAAAGAAAACAGCATCCCCACATCCACAACGCATTCAAAATAGATGACGAGCTCCAACGTCATTTGCAGAAAGACTCAGGTTAAGAAAAAAAAAACTCAGAAAGAAATCTCTCCAGGAAAAAAATAAAATAAAATAAAATTATACTCACACACATATATATATATAATTTTATTTTATCTCTCCAGGAAAATAAAATAAAATAAATATATATATGGTAAAAGTTTTCCCCTGACATGAAGCCCAGTCGAATCCGACTCTGGGGGTTGGTGCTCATCTCTATTTCCAAGCCACAGAGCCGGCGTTGTCCGTAGACACCTCCAAAGTCATGTGGCCGGCATGACTGCATGGAGCCCCGTTACTTTCCCGCCAGAGCGGTACCTACTGATCTACTCACATTTGCATGTTTTCGAACTGCTAGGTTGGCAGGAGCTGGGGCTAACAGTGGGAGCTCACCCCACAGTGGGAGCTGACCTCCACTGATGATGGAC